AGAGGTGCCTGTGTGGCTGCACAGCCTGGGACAGCCAAGAGCAGCCACAATGTGAGGGTGTCTCCCACACCCCACAGCTCAGGTGCAGGTGGGGACAAAGTCAGAGGCGTTTGAACAAGATGGGCCCATTTTGGCTCTCTGGCCTACTTCCCAAGTGTTCACCCCATCAGCCCAAGCTGGGGCCTCCTAGCCAGGAGACACCAGCTCTGGCAGGTGAGCAAGCCAACCTGTGGGAAACTGGCTGCACCTGTGGAGGCCAGGGAGGAAATCCCGGACCAGACTGCGATTCACAGCAGCTTCCAGGCCACTGGCCCAGAACAGAGGACAGACTCGCCAAAGTCACATCTGTGTGGGTGACACGGCCGGGAGCCAGGTCTGGGCTCTGACCCTGCACTGGGTCACAATGCGAATCTTCACACTCCAGGCAAGCAGGGGCGCAGGACTTCTGCTCAAGTTGCTTGTTTGTTTTAATTTACTTACTTGGTAAACAGAGTGACAGAGGAAGAGAGGGCAGAGTGAAGTCTTCCACCTGCTGCCTCATTGCCCTGAGTGGCTGAAACAGGAAACAAGCTGGGCCAGCCCTCGCCAGGAGCCTCTGCAGGATCTCCCACGGGTGAGCAGGAGCCCACGCCCTTGGGCCATCTTCTACTGTGTCCCCAGGCCAGCAGCAGGGAGCTTCGTCAGAAACAGATTAGCCGGGCCCCAGACTTGTACTCCAACCTGGGGTGCTGGAGCCGCAACCTTAACCGACTGAGCTTTTATCACTGCAAGGGAGACGCGCATGCTGCAGTGCAAAGTGGCTGCACATCGCCATGGCTCCCTTGGGATGGATCCTCTGCCTGAGCCCGCACCAGCCCAGCCTCTCCGAGCCGGGTGACAGCGAGAACGCTCACTGAGCATGTCATTAGTCAAGATTCTTCAGAGAAACAGAACCAGCTAGACAGAGAGAGCGCGATGGCAAATCCAGTAGGCACCGTGTGCCAGCACACCAGCCGTTCTCACAGGGCCCATGCTGTGTGGCGGCAGCAAGGCCACCTCCACAGACACACCTGTCATTTCTATTGAGAGCACCCTCTGCTTGGAAGAGCTGCCCCTGCCAGGGAGGCGCCTTGGTTTACCCCATGTCTTGCTTGCCCGCGGTTCCGCCTTCCTCGCCACTGTCTCTTGCACACTTGCTAGGGTGCCAAGGAAGCTCCAGGGGCACGTTCGTGACCCAGCGCTCAGTGCTGCAGCTCAGACTTGCCAGGAAGCCCGAGCTTGGCCCAAGCTCCCAGGGAGCTCCAGCCAGGCTTCTCTGCCATGCCCTGAGGTCTTTCAACCTGCCTCTGGCGAGCACAGCCAGACCACAACCCCCCAAGCTCCATGCACTAGCAGGTGGGCCAAGTGACAGGCAGGGGGCAGCCTCGCTCTGGAAAGTCCAAATTACCCAAGAGGAAACACACAGCTTAAAGGAAATCCACGCCATGAAACCTGTGCGAAACAAGCAGGGTTCCTCTCTCCGCACAAATCAGTCATCTCCCCGGCTCACTTTGAGGCGGTATCCAGGGAGCGCTTCCTGATCGCATCGCTGAGACCAAGGCGGTCAGGCCAAGATTGGGCAGCCAGGACGTCAGCCAGCCAGCCATGTGGAGGGAGGGCAGCAGTCAGCCCTGGGGAACAAGGCCGGGTGCAAGGATGAGACCTGTTCCAGCCCCAGAGCAGGCACAGGCAGGCAGGTGGGGCGGGGAGCGGAGGCCAGACTCCCTCCCTGAGCTGAGTCCTCTCCCTTCCCTGTGAAGGCTCCGCTAGATCCCGGGTGGGGCTGCCTGCCCTCTCCCAGGGCAGTCAGGAGGCCGCCCAGAGAATGTGATCTAAAGTGACCCCTGAGCCCGCGACACAACTTGATTTTGCTGATGTGCTACTGTCCCCCTCCGGCATGGGGCATGGCTCTGGTCTGTGGCCTCCCCTAATGAGCTCAATCCAGCTGTGCCCAGCACCTCGGGCAACAGGCCTGGGGTCTCCCGAGCGTCCAGGAGCCAAGGCTTCTGCTGGTGACTCACCCTCCTCCCTCTGCCGGTCCAGGGCGGCGGCACCTTGAAAGGGGCGGCCCGGGCCTTGGGGCACTTCCTGGCGGCCTCGAGGATCCTGAGTCTGCTGGGGACAGACACAATGTCGCACAGAGACAGTGAAGCTGGCCAAGCTTTCCAGAGGCTGCAATCCACACTGCGCACGACACAGAACCAGCAACAAAACAGACCTCTCTGTGAAAGGGGAAGAACTTGGCAAGGACAACAATGAAGCACATCATACAGAAGAGGAGAGTAAGAAAGCTTAGGGAGAGGCCAGTGTTGTGGAATAGCAAGGAAAGGCTCCAGCTGCGGTGCTGGCATCACACAGGCTCCGCTTCGTGTCCCCACTTGCTCCGCTTCCAATCCAGCTGACTATCAATGCCTCTGGGAAAAGCAGCAGGACCTGAGTCCTCGGGGCCCTGCACTGTGTGGGAGACCCGGAGGAAGCACCCAGCCTTGGCCCGGGTGGTACACGGTCATGGGGAGCGGCAATGCTGGTCCGCTGCCTCCCTCTCTGTAAGGTTCACTTTCAAAATGGATAAATCAGTGTTGGGAGAAAGGACCCTTATGGATAGCCCCACCTCTCAGGCCTGCACCACGGTGTGGTTCCAAACCTGGCAGAAGGCGGGCCAAGTCCTGCCAACACGAGCAAGAGGGCACACTCAACCCTTTGCAAAAGGAAGTAGGTCCAACAAAGAAAGTTCAGCAGACCTCCGCCTCTGCCGAGCCCAGCCCACCAAGGGACTGCCAGGAGCTCACGGGAAAGGTAGAATGAAACGGCGAGCATTGTCGTTGTAGTGGCAATGCCGGTATCCTGGTTCGATCCCCGGCTGCTCCGTTTCCAGCCAAGGCCCCGCTAATGCGGCTGGAAGGCTGGAAGGCAGCCCATGCATGTGAGCCCCTGCACGCACATGACGTGCCAGGTCGGAGTTCCAGGCTCCCGCCTGGCCCAGTCCGTGCTGGTGCAGCCACTTGGGAAGTGAGCCTGCAGAAGCAAATCTCCTCTCCTAGTAACCGTCTTTCAAGTAAGTGGTTAGCTTTTAAAAACAGAAGGAGTAAGGGCAGGTGTTTGGGCTAGGGTGTAAGACACCAATTCGAGGGCCCAACGCGATGGCTCAGTGGCTAAACCCTCACCTGGCAAGCTCCTGGCTCCTGGCTTCCCACTGACTCAGCCCCAGCGCTGCAGGGCTGGCAGGGGCACCCCAACCCCAGGTCCCTGCGCCATGGGCCCCGAAGGCGCAGCTGGGCTGCCGCCGCCAGGTGGCACCGTGACTCCGCCTGGGCCCGGGGACCCCGGGGTCTGGACCGCCACCCCGACCACGAGCGGGGAGGATGGTCTCCATCCGTGAAGACGCCTGGGAAAGAGGCACCGCGGCCTTCCTGCCGGTCCCGCTTCCTCTTCCCGCGTCAAAGCAGAAGTGCCGGCAGGGGCGGGGCGGCGCAGCTGCCCAGGGCGCTTTGGGAAGTGAGCCGGGCAGGGTGCGTTGGGTGGCCTCAGATGCCGTGGCCAGCGGCGGTGCAGCAGCGGAAGGCCGCACCTCCTACTGGATCCCAGGCCGTCCGCTTCAGATCCAGCTTCTGCGGCTGTGGGAGGCGAGGGCCGAGGGTTCCTGTTAGCCGTGGTGGGTGAGAATGGGGCAACCAGGCTGTTGGCAGTATTGGGGAGTGAAGGGGGGGGTGACCTCTGCCTCTCAAATAAGACAAAATTGATGTTAGCTGTTGTTATTAGCCTGGGTGTTTTTCCTGCCTTGCTAGTTAACAAGAGCATAAAAAAAAAAAAAAACAAAAAAAAAACAAAGCCCTGTTCTTTTTATTGGAAAGACAGATTTACAAAGAGAAGGAGAGACAGAGAAAGATCTGAAAGACAGAGAGGGGAAGTCTTGTCTGGGCTGGAACCTGCGAGGAAGATGCTCCTCGTGGGTGACGCTCACCCAGTTAGGAAAGGGCTGCGCGATGCTTGTGCCATCCACTCAAAGGTGTGATCCAAGATTTTAGTGGGCTAAGGTGGTCTCTGTCTCCCACTGGCTCCCCCGCTGCACTACCCCCCTCCGTGCAGTGCTTCCACAGTCAGGCTGGTGGGCGCCCCGGGGCCGCACTAAGAGCCCCCACAAATCAATAAAAAGAAAGCTGATATCATTTCTAAAAAGGTAGACATTGGTACCGACACGGAAATCCCTCTTGATATGGGGGACAGGCAAGCAGCTAAGCTGGCCGAGTCCTCAGTGTGTGCGGCTTTGTAACTCCACCCTTACCTGTCAGTCCAGCACAGTCACTCTCCATGATGCACCTGTGTCTCATGTGGGACCAAGAAGGAAGTGACGCCATGATGGCCACACAGAAGTTCAGCTCCATGTGGAGGCACCGTGATGCTGCTGGTCAGCCTCAGATTTCACTTCATTTATGCTCAACACAAGCTCGGGACACACAAGCCCTCTTTCGGAGAGATGCTTTGGTCCTGGCTGCTCTGCGTCCTGGGAGGCGGCAGAACAGGACGCAGGTCCCTGCTTTCACATCAGAGACCCAAATGGCACTTCCGACTCTGGCTTTGGCATGACCCAGCAGTGGCACGGCAGGCATCGCTCCCTCTGACCCAGCTCCCTGTTGGTGTGCCTGGGAGTCCTACAGCTACATGGGAGACCCAGAGCAGGATCTTGGCTCCTAGCTCAGCCATTGTAGCCACATGGGGAGTAAGTCAGCAGGTAGATCTTTCCCTGTCTCTCATTCTCTCTGTAAATCTGCTTTTCCAATAAAAATGAATGGCTCTTTAAAAAAGCAAAACAAAATAAAACAGAATCCCCATCGAACCTGCACCCTATCTGGCTTGCTATTTCATTCCAACTACCTTGTCCACAAGGACAAGACCTACCAAGGTGGACAAGCCCTGGAAAAGCCGGTCCAGCTTCCACCTGCTCCTCCATCTCATTGAAATTTTCCCACCCCTAGGAACACCCCAAGACCCCAAGCTATAAAGGCCCAGTCTGCTGAAGGACTGGGCTTCTGCCACGTGGTCATTCCACCTGCGTGGGTAAGTGCCCATCTCTGAACTTACTGATCTCTAATATATTCAATTTGGTTGTGAGTTCATGTCCTGTCCCCTCTCTGTTTCGCACCTCTTTTCGGACAGTTGGTGCCCCATCTCTGCACCTCTCTCCCAACACGGAGCACGTCGTGACACAAGCTCCCCTGGCCACACTGTGCGGCGTGTTCCCGGGCCTGCGGATGCGCTCAGCGGACTCGGTCAACCGATAAACCCGGGGAGGATCTTCTCAACCCTGGAGCAATGAAGCCAATTGCTCAGAACAATCAAAACCACTCAAGTCACAGCCTGGGAACACTTCCGCACGCCGGGTCTCGCGGGCGTCATCAAAGGCCCACCTCCCTGTCCGTCTCCTCTCCTACAGGCACAGGAGAAATGAAAGGACTGACGTGTCCCTCCCGCCTCCCTCCACACCTGAGCTTCCCACCCTACTCAGAGGCCCACCTGGGCATGCATCTCTCCCAAATATGTAAATAATATTTTAAAAATAAAAATTTGAAAATCATTTCAAAAAAGCTACTATTAGGGAAATTGATTGTTTCCATTTCCAATCCAAAAAATTCTGTACGTGCAATGTGACAGACATGCCAGGTGTATTGATTTGGTCAATGAGTGTTGCATCCGTGTATTGAAATGCACTGTGCCCCAGAAAGCACAGTCGCCATGTTCCACTCCAGCTTCCCAGGCCACAAGCAGGGAGCTGGAAGGGAAGCAGAGCACCGGACACAAACTGGCATCCATATGCGATCCCCATGAGATCTCGGCTCATTCAAGGTAAGGACTTGAGCCACTAAGCTACCGTGCTGGGCCCAATCTTAAGCTTTCTGATGAAATGCTTGACCAAGTACTTAAAAGAAAAAGAGATAAATATTTCTATAATATTATGGGTTTAGTTGTGACCCTTAAAAAGATATCTTGGAGCAGGTGTTTAGCCCAATGCTTGAGACACCGGATAAGAACCTCTGGAGCTGCCTGCTAACAGCCACTGGGAGGCAGTGGCAGCGATCCAGGAGTTGAGCTCTGTCACTTGGGGAGACCTGGAGTGATTTCCCAGCTCCGGGGCTTTGGGGCTGGCCCAGCTTCAAGTGTTGAAGTCATTTAGGAAGTAGCTCGCAGATGGCGCTCTGTCTTAATGCCCCGAGCCCCAGTACCAGTGACTGTGACCTTATTTGGAAATGGGGTCTTTGCAGATGAATGCACGTCGAATGAGGTCATTGGGGAAGGCCTACCCCATCGATGGGTGTCCTGATAAAAGGACAAGGGCCGACACTGTGTGCTGACAGAGATGGAAGCCATGTGTCGGCCGGCCAAGGAAGGCCAGGAAGAGATAGGACACTTTCCTAGGAACTTCAGAGGGAACATGGCCCTGCCGCTTCTTAGATCTGAGGCTGTGTGCCTCCAGAGCAGGCTGCTGGTTTGAGCCACCGGTTTGCGTTCTTGCTCTAAGAAACTGCGTCCTTTGATCTTGCCATCAGCGTCGGTAGGCGTCACGGACCACTTTGCTGTGCCAGAGTTTCATGTTCTTCGTGGCAGTAACTGCTCACTCACCCACCGTGGGTGAGACGAACGCAGCTTGCAGTGAGCCATATCTGGAAAAATCCGTAGCTGACCCTCCAGCTTCCCAACAGGGCCAGAGGGATGGGCAGGCTCACCCCAGCCTGAGATCTGGAGCCTAGTTCTTCAGTTCCGTCCTCTTGCCCCCAGCAGCTCCAGCCCCTCTTCCTCTCCAGCCCCGGCACCCCACCCAGCAGCTCCAGCCCTTCTGTCTCAGTCTACCTCTGTCCCTCTGTCTCTTTTTTTCTAAGAGATCTGCACCCAATTTATTGGGGTTATTGATTTGACTATCGCTTTACAGAAAATACAAGGATACTTAAAAACAGATATAAATAGAATATTGGGACATCCTACACTATTCTTGTCTATTTAATTTTTTTAAAGATTTATTTTTATTTTTATTGCAAAGTCAGATACACAGAGAGGAGGAGAGACAGAGAGGAAGATCTTCCATCAGCTGATTCACTCCCCAAGTGGCCACAATGGCTGGAGCTGTACCAATCCGAAGCCAGGAGCCAGGAGATTCCTCCAGGTCTCCCATGCAGGTACAGAGTCCCAAGGCTTTGGGCCGTCCTTGACTGCTTTCCCAGGCCACAAGCAGGGAGCTGGACAGGAAGTGGAGCAGCTGGGATTAGCATCGGTGCCCATATGGGATCCTGGCGCGTTCAAGGCGAGGACTTTAACCACTAGGCCACGGTGCCGGGTCCCTTGTCACTTTAAAAATTCTGTGTTGTCAGGGCTGGCAGTGTGGCATAAAAGAGCAAGCTAGAGCTTGCAACGTGGGCAACCCATACAGGCGCCAGTTCCAGTTCTGGTTGCTCCACTTCCAACCTGTCTCCCTGCTAATAAACTGGCAAAGCAGGAGAGAGAGAGAAAGCCCATGAGCTTCGGCCACTGCACCCATGTGGGAGACCCAGGTGAAACCCCAGATCCTCGCGTCAGCTTGCTTCAACTCTGGCTGCTAGGGCCTTTGCAGATGGAGTGAACCAGCACACACAAAATCTCTCTCTCTCCCCTGCCTTTTTTCTCCCCCTCTGTAATTCTGCTTTTCAAACGCAATGGGTTAAGCTGCTGCCTTTCACATTGGCATGCCATAGGAGCCCAAGTTCCTGACCTGGTTGCTCAGCTTCTGGTCCAGCTCCCTGCTGATGTGCTTGGCAGTGGCAATGGCTCCAGCATGGTCCCTGCCACCCACATGGGAGGCCTGGACTGGCTTCCTGGCTATTGGCTCTGACCTGGCCCAACTGCACCTACTATGGCCATTTCAGGAGTGAATCAGCAAATGGAAACTCTGTTATTTTTTTCTTTAACTTAAGGATTCATTTTCTTTTCATTTGAAATGCAATTAGAGAAAGAGAGAGGTCTTCCATCTGCTGGCTCACTCCCCAAATGGTCACAATAGCTAGAGCTGAGCCAGTCTGAAGCCAGGAGCAAGGTGTCCCCTCTAGCTCTCCCATGTGGGTGCAGAAGCCCAAGGCCTTGGGCATCCCCCGCTGCCCTCCCAGGCACACCGGCAGGAAGCTGGATGAGAAACAGTATAGCCAGCACTGAAACTGGTACCACATAGCATGCCAGTACTGTAGGTGGAAGCTCTCGAATGCCAAGGCAGCGACTCAATTATTTTTCTTTTTTCAGATTTATTTATTTATTTGAAAGGTAAAACTACAGGAAGGGAGAGAAAGATTTTCCAACCACTGGTTCACTCCCCACATGTCTGCAGTTCTCTCAAATGGTACATGGATGTTTTAATGGCTAAGCTAAATGTTTACCCTGCATTTAGCGTCTTGAAAGATGATTCTAGCTGCTGTAAGAATTATCTGAGCAAGAATGGAAAGTTCAAGAATGGAAGCAGGGACAGATGAGCTGCCAGTTGTCCAAGACGCACTTGGCTGGTCACCGAGTGGCTGAGAGAAAATGGATCCAACACGCGTTCCCGTGTGTTTTGGAACCAGTGTTGGGCGTCGAGACTGGGACCGTGAATCTCCTGGGCTTCGTGTCGTCAACACCTCTGGGTTCCAGCCATCTATGATGAATTTGATATATTGATTGGACTGGTGCCAGGAACCCCTGGGGAAACCCAGAAAGACATACTTCCTAGAGGCACAAATTAGCCTCACAGATAGTTGAGATGAGGCTGAAGGAGGAGACCCAAAGACAAAACCTAGGCTTTTGCCGAGCAGCCACAGAAACGGCAGCACGGTCGGCGAGCTGAGAAAGCCTTGGCAAAGAACAGAGGGTCTGACTGCGGTGTGGCTGCAGAGTTCCAGCTGGTTACCTAACTCTTGCAGAGTAGTGAGGGCAGGCAAGCTGGGCCTTGCGAGCGCGGTGGGTGGGGACTCTGACAGCCGCCGGCTTCCCTGTTTGTTTGTTTGCCTGTGGAGCTTTGAGAGCCTCTGCACAAAGCATGATTGTGATAATTACTATGGCAAAGATCCCAGCTGGGAGCTAAAACACCCAAAGGCGGAAATGGAACCCAACACGGCACAGCCAAACACTTTCCCCAAATCGCAGCTCGTTAGCCAGTCTGGAGAAGAGCCCCAGTGATCAAAAGGAAAGAACCAGGCCTTAGTCACCTACGGAAAGAGTGGAGAAAGGGGAAGTTCTGGAAGGACTCCTAGAGCAGGCAGAAGTTCTAGGCTACAAAGGGCAGCTTCTGGGCTTTCTGTGGGCAGGGGGAGAGGGAGAGGACCAGCAGAGGCCCAGGAGGAGGGCAGGGTCTCAGGCCGGGCGATGCACATGCCCACCTCCCCTCTCCCCTCCAGCTCCAGTGTGAGGAACCTGGCTGACCCTCTGTGGGACAGAGCCCTGAGCCTCAGAGAAGGCTCCAGCTCCAGCCTCTTGAAAGCTTCTGGTTGGAGCAGTCACCTGCAGGACACTGAGGACCCAGCCCAGCTCCATAGGCACAAAGGGTGTGTCACTGCAGTGCCAGGCACGGGGCCCTCAGGGATGTGGTATGCCACCGCAGGGTCACACTTGAAGTTAAAATGCCACTGATAGCCCGTCTGGGTTGCTCATGTTGACCCAAACTTTACCCCTCGTCTCCACAGGCCCACGGCACTTCAGGTTCACAGATGGCTTCACACTGTCAGGTCCAGGGCTCTCCAGTTTAACCACAAGCTACCAAACAGCCAATAATAACCCATAGCTGAGAAGTACTTTTTGATTCACTCAGTAGCTATTTGTTGAACTCCCGCCATGTGTGACCATTAAGAAAACTACTAAAATAGTGCAATGAGAGACAATGGAGAACCAACAGAATAGATCATGAATAGAGGTTGGAGTCTGGATATATTTTGAGAAGCAGAGCCAGGGCCCGGGAGCAACGGCTCTATTGGCTAATCCTCCCCCTTGAAACTCTGGAATCCCATATGGATGCCTATCGGTGTCCTGGCTGCCCCACTTTCCATGCAGCTCCCTGCCTGCAAAGTGACAGAGGACAGCCCAAAGCCTTGGGACCCTGCACCTTCGGGGGAGACACAGAAGAGGCCCTGGCTCCTGGCCTTGGATCAGTTCGGCTCTAGCTGTTGCAGTCACCTGGGGAGTGAACCAGAAGATGGAAGATCTTTTTTTCTCACTGTAAATCTGACATTCCAATCAAAATAAATAAAACTTTAAAAATATTTGTTCACCTTGGGCTCTGCATGGCAGCCTGGTGGCTAGGGTCCTCCCTTTGTAT